AAAAACAGCTAAAAAGGAAAGGCTAACAAATAACTAGTACTGAATCTTTAATGAAGAGGAAAAATTCATTTCGGACTTATTCATATTTTGCTGATTGTTATCGTAAGATTTTCATAGAGCTGGTTAAAAACTCAGTTGTAATGTGATACTCCAAGTTGTAATTGTAATTTCTATTTTATAAAGTTCATAACCAACTCCGAGAACGTAACTCACCACAATGACGCTCATCCTCGCCTCCTGGACAGTGTCTAGTTCCATCACACAGTTTATTGTGATGAATACATTTTTGATTGGCACAGGTAAAGTAACCAATTTGACAAACACAACCTTTCTCGTCAGAACCATCCGGACAGTCACCATGGATACCATCACATCTTCGATGTTTATTAATGCACTGGCCATTAGCACATTGGAAGTCAGTTACTTCACATACAAATCCTTTAAAATATAATAAAGGATCCTTTAGTTGGTAATTTTGTAACCTCTCTCCCTTGGTTTAGGGGTTTTCTCAGCTTCTTCCTTCACAAAACCTAACAAGCTAAACTGCAATTCGATCTGTGAGCAAGCCGTGCCCTGACTTTGACTATTAGCTTTGAGGTAGTTTCAGATTGTCGATAAAGTTTCACGGGTTTTTTTCTGGACTCATACCCGGTTCTGCAAACTCTGGGCGATGCCTACAGGATCTGCTGGTTGCTTGAAAGCCTCTTATCGCCAACGAAATAGAACCGTTTGTCTTAGACACTCCTTTCAAAATGATCTATAAAAAAGTAAACATATTGCTAAGGATCTTTGGTTGTCTGGAGGTTCCTTGAGGAACGGCACTAGAGAAAATCGTTTGCGTATACGTCCCCTTAAGGTGATTCCCTTGAAAGACATTTTGCCAATAACTTTGTCCTGAAACTTTGCATTAACATTAATTATGTTATGGACATTTAAAAACTGCAATAAAAAGATGGGGTCACCATTCTGTTTTTTTCGCTAGGTGCTCTCCAAATATGTCAATATATGGGTTTATAGTGAAATGCGGTATCAACCGGAAGCTGTAATCAAGAACCTTTATTCACAGTTAAAAGTACTTTTATATAACAAAACGTACTTCTATATCTCAAAGTTTACTAGATAATCTATACTATTAAATCCATCAAAGTCATTGGATGACTAAGATTCTTGAACTATTAGTGAAAAATGCAGGTATGTTCGCCTCTACGAACGTCCAAAAAATGCTCATGTCAACTATTCTCATCAAAATATTTCAAAATCTATCTATTGGTGCGGTATTGCAGTAAAAAATACACTCGTCTTACTCTTCGTTTCGTTTATTTGATTGCGTTAGAGAGTTCCTAATAATGAAGGAAAGATTACAGTTTAACGATAAGACAGAAAACGATTAAAGTAAACGGAAAGCAAGAGAAATAGAAAAAAATACTTACAAAACGATGTGTAACTTAAGACGGTCGACGTTGAACTGAAAAATTACTAACTGAGCTTGAGTGAACTTAACTTAGTCTWAATTAYGCAMATRTTTAAAGTCTGRAAACAAAAGGCGAAAAATGCACACGGGAAAACGCGTAAAATTCCAATCTAGCACTAACACTATCCAATAAACTTTCCTTCATATTTTGATAAATAATGTAGAGCATCGCATTTATCAAAATTCTGAAATAAAAAATAGAGGGTTACCATTCTCGTTTTTGATTTATCTTGAAAAAACATCTCAAAATAGTTGAAAACTGACACTTTTCCGAGTGGAGACTGGGGCGAGTCAGATTAAAATCGCAATTTCTCTACTTAAAAAAGAGAAAAAAGTGAAAATTTTGTTAGTTCCATGCTTTTAGTTGAATGCGCAGAAAAATGCGCAGAAAAATGCGCAGTGCAAAACAAGGGAATTACCTTAAGCGCGTTTTTGTGAGAAAATAAATGTTTGTGTTCTCCGAGTATAGAGTGAGCTTACTCTTGTTGAAACCAAAATACTGTATAATAAAGACAATATGAAAGAATTAGAGTTAAGTTTCTATAACTGACTTTAAATTTTGGCATTTAGTAAAGCAATTTGTCAAGCATGTTTGAAAGTAAAAATTGCATATTTAATTTCGGGTAAATATACTTCGTTGTCTAATTCAAGTAAATGAAAAATGCCAAATTGTTACTCTGTCGATCAATGACCTGAATGGCAGAAATTCAACAAAATGTTGAACTTTTGAATGATAATTTTGAAGGGGCTTTATTAGGGAGGAATTATAATTTAATTCAATTTTTCACAGCTGTCGTTCAATTCTTGATTTTTTTTTAGACCGGACACCCACTCTGAATGTGCCTGAAACCACACAAAGTAACAACTAACAACATTAATTTTTTCCATAATCACGCTAACATTGATGTTTTCCCCCCAGCAAAGTATGACTGTGTGAGAGCCACGAGCGATGCATTCCACCATTAATCTCTTAGGAAAAAGCCACTTCAAAATGTGGTTATTTACAACGTACCTGGAAGTTTTCCTCTGACTTCAAAGGTATTTTAGCTCGTTGCCACTTTATCCCGTGATGGCCTTTCATCAGCCACAAGAGATCCTCACTTGAACTAGTTTTTCTATAAACCTCGAGACGGGATGACGTGTTGGAAGGAAGAAGATAAGAGAACTCAGCACACATGCTTATGTGTTTATAATTAGAGGTCCAAGGCATGGACGGGGATTCCAGAGACGATATTCCTGGAGTAATTAGAGCTATAAAATCACCTAGAACAATCAAGAAGATATTCAAGCATAATAGACGCGTTTGCCCGCTAAAGTCACATTTYCCCCCTTTTTTCTTTGGTCGGTTCTGTAAATTGAATACATGAATGTTTGTTCTTCGTATAATTGATCTAAGTTTGTTCGATTCCTCCTTTAATAAGTTTGCTTGTTGTTGTTGTTGTTGTTTTTTCCCCCCGTGATATCGAAGATTCTGACAATAACCTCATAGCAATAAATTATATTTGTTAGCGGTTCTTTTTAAACAAAATAATAATAATAATGATAACAAATAAATTAAAAACTCTTACCTCCAAAGATAATTTTGTCTTCCATTTTTCCTCGCTTTTCTAAACTCCACAGGCATGAAGTGTCTTGTGACGTAACGATCCATCCAGGACATCTTCCATCGCCAAAAGAGCACTGAAGTTTTGTAGAATCTGCAACAGAATCAATAAATAATAATAGATTAATAGATTAAATAATCCATTAAAGATTTAGGTTAAAGCCAAATTTCTTACCAGAAACTTGTATGGACTCTGCGATAGTTCTTTTTCTTCTCCAATGTGTGTCGTCAGCCAGAAARTCATAGATGATCTATGCCATAGATTAATATTTATTAAATAATTTTTGTATAAAAATCTACACTTTTAGGACGTTGGCTAGCATTATTCGCTCGCAGCCTTTCTTCGCATGAGTTTAGTGCGCGCGCGCTCATCGCAATGACGTCATTAGAATGGGGAAAATATCAAGAAAACCCATTTTCCAATTAGTTTACGGCAAAATATCTTGGAAACCAATTCGGTGACCCCTATTTTACTCTGTATTAAAATCAAAATGCTACCAAAACCTACAAAATTTGTAAATATTAAAGAAAATTGTGCATTTCTTTGAGGTTTTTGATTGTTTTCGAAGCGTTTCTTTGATCTCTTAAGTTACTCTATAGTGCACGATTTTTCCTCGATAAATACTATATTTCCTCAGCGTTTAGCAAAAAAATAAATTCGGTGATCCCCATTATATTTTTTATTTTCATTTTTTGAACAAGAGCAATGCTGGGGTATGTTTATGCCAAGTTTAAAAAAATTCTGATTGCAACTTCATAGCTGTCGACGTTTAAATAATTCAACAAAACATATTCTTACATAAATACTGTAGTTGCCTGGTTGAACGACCGCCTCGATTTTGTGTCTCATTTTGTGTTCTTCACAGGTCATTTCTAGGCTCCTGTTCACCATTATAGTCTGCTTRAACGCTTCTAGCTTTAATACCAGGGGGCAGGAAGGACAGAGAATACCTTTGCAGCAGAATTTGTAGACAGCTGTGGAGTGGAGTAATGATAAATTTCGTAATGACCGCCGATCACTGTAAGAACTAGAAGATAGTATACTCTTGACAAAATGAGGGATGATATAATGATCTATTAGTACGGTAATCTTTCTTCAACATAATCCCATTGATATATTCTCTTATACTATTAATTTTTCAATTGGAAAGAATATTATATTATTATATACATTTTATATAATGTATTCATTTTAACAAATAATTATATAATTAACCTCTGTTCGCAAGTCGTATTCACTGACTATTCTGGCTAATTTACTGACGCTAAAACAGGGATCTAATACTTAGGATAGAATATATATATTATAATTGATAATTAGGATTTAGGAAAAACTGGATCGAGTTGGCATTGCAATGCAATTTGGGGCTGTTTTAGGGGACGAAATAGCCAACATCTTAAATATATGTCCCTTAAAAGCCCCACAATGCGCTGCAATGACATCTCGACCCAGTTTTCTCCCTCAACCTCGGAATGGCTAGCTATTGGCGACTTTAATTACCTTCAAAGGTGATTTCCGAACCAAGTGCAATCTTTCTACTGATGTTGTTAGTTAAGTGAAACTCCAGAACTCTAGAACCTGTTGTTCAATTGACATGATAATTTGCTTGATAATTAATAATGAATATTCATGATAGATCAGAATGGAAAAAACCTTGCAAATGTTTTGCTTTGCCAGGAGCCAATAACACGGAGCATTCGCCTCATGAATCGTCCTATAGATATTTAGAAAGGCTTTTCAATCCTCGAGAAATAAAGAACGAAGCTATAGCCGCCATTTTGGTGGCATTAACATGAGGAATTAATGACAGAGTATTGCTCTTCGTTCATTGCGAATCTAAAGAATAACCAGTACAAGAGAATGATAACTCGAGATAGGGGTACTAGACGATTGTACGGTCCAGGTAATGGGCACCTGAAATAGCGTCATAAAAACCAGCACTTGCCTGGTCTCATCCAGTACAGGTACTCCTGGGGGAAAAGCTGGATATTGTTTTGGCCGGGTAACCTTGTGACTACAGTGAGATAATCCTGGTTGACCCTCTGTCGCATGTAAACTTCCATGTGATATAAATGACATTTGCTGAAGTTTCGATGTTTGTATTGGCTTTTGCTCCTGGAAAAGTAAGGCTAAAAATTTTAAAAACCATACAATTTAAATTAATAAACAGAAAAAAGAATGCTCAGCGTTTCCTTACAATTTGTATCTGATGGGATACGTAGGTGATTCGATTTTAATCAACAACTCCTCATCGTATCTCTCCATCTCATCTTTCAGTCCTGGTTCTTCGGCTTTTCCTAACCATATTTCACATTCATCGCCACATGAAGCTGAGATGAAGTAAAGTCCTGAGGTATTGACCTGAAAAATTAAGATAGTTTTGTTCAATGGCCAAAAGATTCTTGCAGATGTTCTAAGCAATGAAGCCTGATGAATCAACCAAACTTCAAGGAAAGCGTTTAATTGTAATTATTCAACGCTAATTTAGTCCAGTTTTTCTTAAATAATCCTTACCATAATATAACCTTTTCCTCGTAGACTGTAGTTTAAGACACCCGAAAATCCAGGAATAGCAAAGGTTGRCAAAACACTGGATATATTGGGATTACCACGAAACACCTCATTATTCWTTAAAAACGGGGTTGTTTTAGACAACATATACTTGTTCCATAATTCAAACAAAACTCCTCGTATGTTAGTGAAGTTGTCTGCAAGGCATAAATATAGGGATTCGTATCAAATGACTTACTGAGGTAAATGGACGGGTGGACGGATGGACGGGTGGACGGGTCAAGTGGGAATTTAGAGGCGTCTTACCGAAAGCCGATACATCTGGTTCACTGCACAACTCCAAAATTACACTCTTATCTGATGAACAAATTTTAATAGTATTCGTTTTGAATTCAACGCCACACGTCGCTATTTGCTCGTTTATTGTATCCATGGTAACAGTACACTCGATGCTGCGCCCAGAATTCGAGTCGTACACGATTACAATCGGTTTTATGTAACGTTGACTGTCGTTGTTGGCATGGCAGCTACGATTTAATGTCACAGTATAAATGTAGACGCTTCTTTTTAAACGTCGTTGTATCCAGGGACTTGATTCCTAAAAATAAAGAGCACATCACATCACCGTTGAACTCAGTAGTTAAAGTTTTCTTAAAAATGTAACAATACTATTAATCAAACGTTAAAGAAATTTAATCTCGATATACCACCTTAGCGTTTGTCGATGTTAACTTTCTATCTGCGTGGTTATGAACTCGGGAATCATAACGAGGGTGATTCTTTGAGATTCGCGGATTTGGTTGCAGAGAATATGCAATCTTTTGAAAAAGATTCGTCTGATATTGATTCTGCAAATCATTAACGAAATATTTTGTTAGAATATTTAAAAAAATCGGACTGTTATTTCTTCCTTGAAAAGAAAGATTGCTTTAAGCAGAGATTGATAAAGTAACCTCACCTTATTTGTTGTTAGATTCGAAGGTGGAGTTGAGACGGCTGTGTAGAGACTCGTCTGATTTTCAACCTGCAAATCATTAACAAAGTGTTTTCTCAGAATAGGCAAGTTCAATGTTCATTATAATATATTTAGATACTGCCTAAAAGCGGAGCTCCCGATACGAAAGTCATAGAGAGAACAATTTGAATGAAACTATAGGGTAAAAATAAGATCGGGGAAAAAATCTTCAATTATTTTTTATTCGAGATGAAGATAATTTCTCGCATAATAAAAACCATGCAGTGAAATCAAATCGAAATACACTACATTGTTTGTTTGTTTGTTTGTTTGTTTTGCGCGAGTATACTCTCCCACTTAGGAATTTTGTACACAACTCACCACCACCCCCAGGGGCTAGTTTTGTTCTTGGTAGATTCTTCGACAACGTTTTCCAAGGCCGACAGTTTTTGGCTTTGAATCTCTTTTACTTAAGAAAAACGAAAGATAGCTACAGATAATCYAATACAATATCAAGCTTAGAGAAATTTACCTCGGATGTCTTTCATTGAAATCGAAAATCTGGAGATTTAGGACAAATCAAGACTAAAAAACAGACCTGAAAACTGGTTAAGGTGAGCAGAAAATATACTTACTTAATTACATCTTTTACAGAACGAGACGAAGTTTATATTCAGTTAAACTTGACAAGAACAACTGAGACAAAATAGAAAATAATGCAAAAGGCAATGCAAAATACAAAATGACGAATTTCTTGTCAGTAAATTGGCGTTTTGGAATATTTTTTAGCTTTTTAAAGTGAAAGTCTTGCTCTATATAATAACATCTCTCAACAACACAAATTTAAGCTCATTTTTATAATCATACTTGAATATTTGGTGTAAATTTATATTTCATTCAATAATTAAATAAATTATCTGTAGAAAGATATAAAATTATTGAATGAAAGTCTTCTTTGTTTTGCCGATGGGACCCCGCGATAGGAGGCGAACAAAGCTGCATTTTTCTTGAACGAAAAACATACGATATATAGTTGGTTAAAAACAACCGAATTGTTAAAGATTTACAAAGCTAAATAAAGGACGAATATTCGTTGTAATGTGCTCTTCGTGTTATATTTCCTCTCCAGCATTAAAATAAATTAAGCTTATCTATAGAAATTAATATTAAACGTTTTGAGAGAAAAGTCTTTGATTTGTCGAGAAAAATGCTTGTGAAAAAAAAAAAAATATATATATATATATACGATTGTTTGCTAAAAAACAAACACCTGAATTCTTGAATAACACCTCTTGATTCATCTTTGACTACATGAAAGTTTTTTAAAATTGTTTTTGGTCTATAACTTGTCCTAAAGCGATTTTTTGCTGTGCATTTGAGAGCCGCATTTGTGAGTACTTTTGCTTTGACATCAAGAGGATTCCTGTGTTGTGTACGCGGACGGACGGACGGACGGAAGTGACGTCAGCCAAACCATGAAAAATCATCTCGATGGTTTACCATTTTTTCTTAAGTATGGTACTCCGCGCGCGCGGGCCCTCGGATGCGCGGGAGCTCCGCTAAAATGACTATAAGAAAAGATAGAGAAAGTAATCTCACCTTAGTTGTTGTTAGATTCAAAGGTGGAGTTGAGACGGTTGTGTAGAGATTCGTCTGATTTTCAACCTGCAACTCATTAACAAAGTGTTTTCTCAGAATAGGCAAGTTCATTGTTCA